CAATATATTAAACAAATGTGTTTCTCTTAAGAACCCAGACTGAGTAGAAATTATGCTTTGCATTCTACGAATGTAACCACGATGCGATAGTAGAATTAATAGGGCTCCAGGTCAAAAGAACTTTAGTTTCTACCATTGCAATTTATTACGTTTATTACAGACGAAATATAAACCGCTCAAAACATTTTTCTTACGTTGAATATTTGATACGTCCTATGCAATTTTACAACTTTCTACAATATTAACTCTAACATCACACTTTTTCTAATGAGATAGTCAATAATTAAATGAAAAGGATAGCATGTTTTCAATTTAAAATGAAAAAATTAAGATCTAAGGAGCTATGATTACCGATTCCTATATCAAAAGTAAGCTCACAGTTTGTTCCTCAAACAAAACACTTATACTTTCAATTTTTTCTTTTATTAAACCATATACCAACCAATTAATTGAGATGAGTTCACGCACTTAATTACAGAAATTTTTTTAACTTCTGTATGGAAATGTCAGCGAAAATCACAGAGCAGTAAAACACACGAACACACCAATTTTAAGTACGCTATTTGACGTATAAAATTATTAGCTCACCACGAATAGTTTGTCACCTCACATACAGAAAGTGTTGTGAAACGAATAGATGAATATTGGCTAACTTTGTCTTCCTTTCATGCTGAATATAAGAAGGGTGTAACTAGTGTCAAACAATCAGTAGAAGACTACAAAGTAAGAAATTACGAAAAGTTGCCACGTCGTGCGTCACCGGTGTCGTAGGTAATGCACAAGTGTGAACGAGGAAACACTATTACCATCAGGATCGAAAATTGGAATTTTTGTTGAAGCCGCAAAACAGCGTTGTCATATTATACTAACTGCTGTATTTGAAAACAAATTTAGATATATGATAGTCTATATAATGTTGAGATTTTTGTTGATAAATGAACGATCACCTTACTAAACCAAACCGTAAATGAACATTATAATTTATAGGTGATCAATATTCGATTTCAGATTTTTGGAAGTTGGGCAGCACTTATATTTTACATTCTTCCACACACTTTTGTCATAGGAATTTTCGTGATATTTCTGCCACAAAACGAAAGTTTAATAAAAGAAAAATGTATCCAAAATCACCTTTTCTACGTAATCCTCTTGTGGAGTCACAAATTCTTCAGCGGAATGTAAGTTAACTTCTATTAATATTAATATATAATAATATAATATTAATTTTCGGAGAACACTCGTTTGCAAACAATAATGTTCGAACACGCTAAATGTTGTCATATAGTCTACTCTTGTACACAAATGATCATGACAGAGACAAATAAATGTATGATTAGAACTGTATTTGGGTTGCCAATATTATTATATTTAGTAATATAAGAGTACCCGGTGGTTTTTTATATTAGAGTACGTTAATGAATATACAAGCCGCAGATGTTAAAAGGTTCTAATTTGTTATTTCCACTTGAGGCAACATCCAAAATTATAACTTCGAAAAAAATTTACCGGTTCTTCACTTTTGCTTTACGCCCGGAACACATAGTGCGCGACAGCCTGCAAACGACATGTGTCAAATATTAAAATATACACGTTCTTGTGGACGGACCTATTTTGACAGCTGCAGGACTACACGACGGCAGGCCGACAGTTGTCGTTCTCGCTAACTTCAATTTTATCCTATATTTGCCAACGACAGTAGAGTTGACAGTARAATGGAAGATAGAGAGATGAGGTAGAGTGGTGATGCCACTAATATGTAAAATGTAATACTACTCAAAGCTCTAACAAACCCGACGTTATTTTACAAATAACAGCATAAAATAGCTCTGTTACATCATTTGTAATAGCAATTGATAATTTAAAACAAATAAATTTTCGTATTTACTTATATTTTGCTTAAAATTTTCACTTTGAACAAAATATTAAAATTTCATTGAAGTGCAAGGTATTAGTATGGCCACAACGAAATTATGTACATGCAAAATGGACAACTGCGTTGTTTTGTGTACATGCCGGTCATTGTTATGTTGCTGCCTTCTCACAAACGTTCATGTTGTAGGATTCACAACGCCATTTTCAGTTCACTGTCGTGCTGCTGCAGTCTGTCGCGAGAATTGTGTTTCGAAGTCAGCCAGTTCGTTGCCGGCTATGCCCCTGTGGCCCGGCACCCAGATTAGGTGCACCCGGTTCTTTGTAGCTAGGTTGTTCAATCGTTCTCTGCACTCCTGCGCCAAAAGCGATTTGATCTCGTAGGAGGAGATCGCTTTCAGTGCCGCTTGACTATCGCTGAGTATAGCTATGCGCTCGTTGCGATAGTTGCGGTGGAGGTTTATCTCTGTACACCGACTTATAGCCAGGACTTCAGCCTGAAAAATACTTGGAAAGCTTCCCATCGGAATGGAGAGCTTTGTACGCGGGCCTACAATACCCGCACCTATTCCTTCCGACGTTTTTGAGCCGTCGGTGTACCACCTCAATGTACTATCCCTTAGCATTTGCTCAAGAGTGGGGTCGTTCCACTCACTCTTGCTCCCGATGGTAACCTTAAACCTTTTCGTGAAGTGAGTTGATTTCGTAATCCCGTCCCTTGGGAGAAGGACAATAGGAATGTCGTAACTTATCCTCTCCATCATCTGGGAAGAGATATCTTGCCTTTGCCGCATCCCTCTGCTGTTATCTGCAGAGGTGGATTGGTGTAAGTTCTAGCAGGACCTCCAAAGCTGCCTTCGGACAGGTTCGAATAGCGCCCGTCATGCAAACACATGTTAGCCGCTGAAGCTTCGATAGTCGGTTAATCACAGAAGCCTGCGACGTTACAGAGGCCCAGGACACCGCCCTGTAAGTAATTATCGGTCGCACAATCATGGTGTACAACCACCTAACGATCTTTGGCTTGCAGCCCCAGGATTTACCCGCCAGCCGTTTGCACACCATTAATGCTTTTGTAGCTTTGACCAGCGTTACAAATGATGTAACAGAGCTATTTTATGCTTTTATCTGTAAAATAACATCAAGTTTGTTAGAGCTGTGAATAATTTTACATTTTACATATTAGTGGCATTACCACTTTACCTCATCTCTCTATCTTCCATTCTACTATCAACTCTACTGTCGTCCTACTGTCGTTGGCAAATATAGGATCAATTTGAAGTTAGCGAGAACGACAACTGTCGGCCTGMCGTCGTGTAGTCGTGCAGCTATCAAAATAGGTCCGTCCATAAGAACGTGTGTATTTTAATATTTGACAGATGTCGTTTGTAGTCTGTCTTGAGCATTATATTCCACACATGTATTATAATATTTGATAGATGTCACTTTCGGTCTGTTGCGCTCTGTGTGTTCCGGGCGAATCGAAAGATTACAGTCAAAGAGTGGTCAGCCACATAATTAGTTTAGCTCTTTTTTTTTTAACGTTTTTTTTTTTTTTTAATTAAAAATTTGTATAAATTTGGTAAAAAGTTAACTATGGTTTCTGTGGTAGACATATTGAGTACCTAGGGGCTTGAAAAGTTTAAGTTCGACTTGGAGAATTTTTGGTCATTAGATGGAATACTTCAAATGCCATTATTCGTGCAATGTTTTACAGAATCAGATGGAATTTAAAATTGTTTTATATGAAAAGTGGGCATGGTTGTAATCTGATTTCTTTCATTTTCGCACTGTGACAAATTTAACTAAATACGACAGAGACAACATGTTACACCCGAAAATGTTTTAGATCTAATGTACACTCAAGATGATATCAGAGAGTTTAATGGGAGCCGGGATAAAAATGGACGGTGGCACCGCCCACGTTTTTGTGCTGTCGAAAAAAGCTTTGAAATCGACGAAGAGGTGGTGTGTGTCGATTCTCTTTTCACGGGTCTTTTCCAAGACTTGGCGCATTTTGAATATCTGGTCGGTTGTTTATTTGCCAGGTCTAAAAGCACACTGATAAGGTCCAATCAGTTTGTTGGCGGTGAGCTTTAATCTTTCACACAATACGCTCGATAGAACCTTATACGCGATGTTGAGGAGGCTTATCCCACGGTAGWTGGCGCAGATTGTGGGGTCTCTTTTTTTATGGATTGGGCATAACACACTTAAATTGCAACCGTTGGGCATGCTTTCGTCCGACCATATTTTGCAAAGAAATTGATGCATGCTCCTTACCAGTTTTTCGTCGCCGTGTTTGAATAGCTCGGCCGGCAATCCATCGGCCCCAGCCGCTTTGTTGTTCTTCAGGCGGGTAATTGCTATTCAAACTTCTTCATGGTCGGGTAATGGAACGTCTACTCCATCGTTATCGATTGGGGAATCGGGATCGCCTTCTCCTGGCGTTGTGCGTTCACTGCCATTCAGCGGGCTGGAGAAGTGTTCCCTCCATAATTTAAGTATGCTCTCGGTGGCTAGATCACCTTTTGGGGTTCTACAAGAGTATGCTCCGGTCTTGAAACCTTCTTTAAGCCGCCGCATTTTTTCGTAGAATTTTGAGCATTACGTTTGTCGGCCAGCTTATCAAGCTCTTCGTACTCACGCATTTCGGCAAGCACTCATAAAAGGCATCTTTAGTCACATCGATATGTTGAAGAACCTCGCTTTGATGCGACTCCTTTATATGGTAGTAAATGCCACAAGGACCTACTCGTCTCTGTCCTTGTCCCGTCCCAATTAAGGAACCGGACATTCCAGGTGCATGCCCTCAATTCGTAGTCCTAATTTGTTTACCACGGTCGTCATCAAAAAGGGGGTCTCTCATCCGATGTTGGTTATAACTATTCACTGGGGGTGTTTTTTTTACGTGGCGGGTCCCAAACCCAGCGCACAACGCTATGTAGGAGATATTTCGCCTTCTCACTTTAGCTCACCTTCAAACGGATGTTCTTAGGCTACCTAGAGGATACTTGGTCAAAGACCGGAAGTCGTGAGCTGCTTGAGTCATATGTAAAAGAATCGTTTCTGGCCACTCCCAAGTGAATGGCGATTAGAGAACTTTCCTCACTTGCGTGAACTTCTACATATGACTCCATCCTCCACTTAGAATGAATAAAATCGGGTCACAACTTGGCCCAGGTCCCTATAATTAACAAGCCTCATGTACCTGAAGACACTTCCCTGACTTTAATCCTTGCAATACCCAAACTCCCTTACTTGCTATATAGCAAGTGACACAAAACTAACCTTCCGATGTTTTTTGGAAAATGAAAAACTTTATTAAAACATGAAAAACTTTGTTTCTGCATGTGGATTATTTTTATTTTTTACATCATGTCAAGAATATGATAAGATGTAAATGGCCGCCGCCACAGTTGATTGTCATTTGAGCCCTCACATTATTGACGGATATTGTGTTTAAGAGCTGCAAGAGTCTGAGGCTTGTTGACATAAAACCGCGACTTCAAAAAGCCCCACAAAAAGAAGTCTGGAGCGGTCAAATCAGGCGATCTTGCTGGCCAGTGCAAATCGCCAAAATGGAAGATTAGGCGCCCGGGAAATGCATCCTTCAGCATAGCGGTTGTGGCACGCAGTGTAGCGTACTATTGTTTATTTACGTGTATTTCATCGGACATTAGAGCTCAATTGAAAAATTTATAGCATCTTCTAATCATCTTCTGACTTTTGCACCACGCTTTATAAAACCCTATATCTATCTTAATTAGATTTAGGTGATACATACAACCTTTAAGTTAATCGAAAATGTACCTTTTTGGCAGAAATTCAGCCACATAGGTAACACTTTGCCAACAATCAGAAATCTTTTCGCGATCAATTGTTAGTATCGCGTCTGCAGTTGTCACAAGCAATCTGACTGTATACTTCGGTGTTACCACTAAAACTGGCTCAGGATAAAATACTAGCTGATGGTTCAGCCAGTTCATAACCTATAATTTTATCTCCTTATACTAATTGATTCTTGATTTGTGTACTGCAAAGTAAAATAATCAAATAGCAATTTAAATTGTGTTATATGGGAAGTAGGCGTGGAGGTAGTACCGAGATATTTGATGTTACCTAGAAATGGGCTAAGTCACGTCCATTGTCCAATTTTGACATCGGCTCCTATAAAGCCCCTTCATACCATCTCGGGATTAAAATTTAATACATTTGGCGTAATCAGTTATTGCACTGACGGACGTACGGATGGACAGTCAACCGGAATCCAACTTTTCTCGCCATCCAGATCATTTAAATATGTATGTATAAGGCTATATCTATCTCGATTAATTGTAGGTGATACGTACAACTGTTAGGTGAACAAAACTTTAATACTCTGTAGCAACTGGTTGCGAAAGTATAAAACAATATTTTATTACTAAGCGTATCATGTAACTGTGTGTGTTGCTTTTTTTTTTTTAATTATCTCAAAGTAAGAAGAGAAGAGAATCGACACGCACCACCTCTTCGTCGATTTCAAAGCTGCTTTCGACAGAACGAAAAGGAGCTGCCTTTATGCCGCGATGTCCGAATTTGGTATCCCCGCAAAACTAATACGGCTGTGTAAACTGACCTTGAGCAACAACAAAAGCTCCGGGGAATCGGGAAGGACCTCTCCGAGCCGTTCGATACCAAACGAGGTTTCAGACAAGGCGATTCCCTTTAACGAAGACGAAGAGGAACCCTTCACTCCGTTGGAAAGACCAGGTGGAGAAGGGCCTGGCTTTGCTTGGAATCTCCAATTGGCGCCAACTTCCGAAAAGAGGAAACGACTGACGCTCTGTTTTTAACTCGTCTATAACCGCATAAGTAGGTCGAAGGCCCTTGGAGCCATGTTTCCGGATAGGGATCACATCGCCTCGCTAGCACCCAGCAGAATACTTGACTTCATCAATATGCTGGGGCTAAGCGAGTCCCTGTGAGYTAGGWGAGGGCACAATAGACCTAAGGTCGCRGTGCATTCCTCAATTATTTATCTATCTATCTATCTAACCGCATAAGTGGTGCCTATGTCAGTAAAGAAGAAGAAGAAAACCCTGTATTGTATTTTTCCTGATGTTTGTTGTACTACGGTAACAAATATGAATATTTGCTAATATGCAGTCAAATGTTTTTATCTGCATTCTTGTATACTCGTGAAATTTACTTTCATTTATTAGCTATTGTGGATATATGTAGATAATATAATTCCATATTATCTATAATTCCATATATATTACACATGCTTTTTTTGTTACTTTTCTTTTTGCAATATCGCAATATTCTTAATTTTAATAAACTTTTATATTTTAAAAAATTTTCTTGCCGAAAACGATGATATATCACAATTTAACTAATATTATCTAGATTATTTTAAGTTACATTCACTTAGACTTAGATGTTTAGGATCTCATAATATAATACTAATTAACCGATGTGTGGACTTACACCAATTTAAACCATTAACTAAAACATTGATAATATTGTTCATAAAGAAGATACTAATATTAATTTTCCAGCCTAGTCAGCTAGAAGAATTAATGAGTTGGTTGTGTAAAGTGCCCACAATAACAACATATCGCGTAAATTCGCTCCGAACCACTGTGCCAGCATTCAAACAGAAATTGCAAGAAATATTACGTGAAAGATATACACAGCCACCCAAAGTGTATGAAATACCCAGTATTCCAGAGGTACTTTGCATTTTACCAACATCGTTTAGCATTGATATGAAGCAGAAGCAGTCAGACTTACAACGTGAGGTTGTTGTCGACAGCTGCTGTGGTGCGGCTTTACTACGCGGCGCTCATCTTTATGCACCTGGCGTGCTTGCAATGGAGGCGGGTACAAAATTAAATGAGGAGGTTTTAGTCTACGCCGATTTGGCGGGTAAATGTAAGCAGGGTACAAATATTCGATATGATTCGCTCGATAAAATTTTTTTGGGCGTGGGTGTCGTACGAATGCAGCGTCATCAGATTTTTGGACCTACAATAAGTAGTACTGCTCAGTCTTTGAAAGGAGTTGCAGTGGAAATGATTGAAACTATGTTCGGCGTACCGACCATAGGTGATCTGAGCTGCAAAGAAGCCCTTCTTCAAAACCTGCCGTCTATTGTATGCGTAAGGGTACTGAAACCTCAACCAGGCGAACGTGTGTTAGATATGTGTGCGGCGCCCGGAAATAAAACAACTCATATAGCAGAGTTAATGGATGATAAAGGTGAAGTAATAGCGCTCGATAAGGCAGCCAATAAAATCTCGGGCATGTTGGCAAAAATAAAGAATTTAGCCTTCAAAAGCATACGCGCCTATAATTTTGACGCCACGAAAGCTTTCAGCGCAGCTAAGGACGTAAAAGGCAATGAATGCTTGGGTATGCCACCTTTCGCCGCCAATACGTTTGATAAAATCTTACTTGATGCACCTTGCAGCGCTTTGGGCAACAGACCGTTGCTAGTATATCCACCTAATATGTCCCAACGTATGCTCCAATCGTACCCAAAAGTTCAGCGAAAATTATTTTCCGCAGCAGTGCCATTGCTAAAGCCAAACGGTGTTTTGGTTTATAGTACTTGCACAGTGACTGAAGAGGAAAATGAAGGCGTGGTTGCTTGGGTACTAGAGAAATTTCCACAGATGAGGCTGGTCCCTGCAACTCCCCATCTTGGCGGCATTGGTCTGGAACAAACAGCTCTTAGCAATGTTGAGAGGTAATCTTAAATTTTACATACATATATGTATAAACCTATATTAATTAATTAAATTAACAATTCCAGGCAATACGTGCAACGGTTTGGTCAACAAACAAAAGAATTCGATGGAGTTCCCATTGATACCGTCGGATTTTTCATAGCAAAGTTTATAAAGGAATATTAAATGCCATGTGCTTGGAGACTGTAATTTCAGTTCTAAAGACTATGTTTGTATCATATGTAACCTATGCATTTCTTTAACTTTAAGTAAATATTAAAATCATGCAGTACTTGCTCAAAATTAAGTTCTTTATTTTTAGAGTGTATTGACAACTTGGGTCTTTTTTTTTATTATATTCGTATATAACGAATTATTTGCCGATAGCTGTGATAATTCTTGATTTCAATGAATATTGGATCTTTTACATGCACATCTCAAGACAATGTATTTGAGTAATTTACAAAAATTAATACATTATACGGATGAGGCATTATGAATGAATTAAATCCATAAAGAAATAAAATACATTGATGTCTTTTGAAAAACATATTAGAGATATAAATATACTAAGTTCTTAAAGAAAAAATCATAACAAACTTTAAAGTAAACCCAGCTTCGTTATATGCATGCTTATCGATATTTTTCATAGGTTATGTTTATGTTTAGCAGTAAATATTAAATCTATCATTATTGGTCTACCTTAGGTTTGCAAAAGCAGAGTGCAGACATGAGACGATAATATTTATCGTTTAAACTTCTATAATTACAAATAATGTGAAAAATGGATGCGTATGTATCCAAGAATGTTTTTCTCGATGTAATGTCATGTCGTGCACACTCCGTATTATGGTGCAACATATGTGGGCCAGCATTACAAAAATTGTCAAATATCCTATTCAACTACATGTTTTACGCGGCGATGTTTAATGCTTTGAATTCATCATCATGCATCTCAGTCATCATATAAGTACCATCTTGCAATAGTAACACTACACGCCGTGTTCCTCCTACATAGAAGTATTGAAATGAAATGCTCACATATAATGTTTTCAATCGTATTTACCTGGAGACGGCATACCAGCCTGTATTACTTCAGCGGGTATATTAGCTTCCTGTCCGTCTGCCCCGTCAGATGTTTGTATACAAAGCTGTCCGGTAGCTCCGCTACCACCAGTGGTAACAGCAACACCTCCACTGCCAACATCCGCTTGCTGTTGCTGTTGAGCTGCAGCTAATGCTTGGTGTTGTTGCAATTCTGCCTCACTCATTGTAACTACCTGAGTAGTGCCATCTTCGTTTGTTGTTTTGACAATATATTGGGGCTCAGACATGGAATCTGCTTGTTGTAATTCGCTGGGGTTCTGTGCAACTGCTTCTGCAACAGCGTTGTCTAGAGTGAGTACTTGATTTTCATCACTATCGGCAGCAGCAACATAAGCGAATTGCTGTTCTCCGTCAGGACCCTGCGTTACGAGAATAGTTTTTCCTTCGGCATTCTTGCCGGCCACCTGATACACTGTGCCGTCTTCCCCAGTCACTAATAGTGGAGTGCCATCTTCATTAGTAAGCATTTGATCACTTGAAAAAAGCATTCCTGGATCAATATCTTGCAATGCCTGTTGATGATGATCTTGTTGAAGAGTCAATTGCTGCTCACCACCCGTCATTAATTGGGTATGCATCACTCCACTTTGATTTTGCTGCTGCTGCGATATCACTTGGTCATCTTGTCCCAATATTTTACCTATTATTTATGTACTTGATTAGTTCATAGTTGTTTCAAGTGCAGTTTGAAATCTTCTGCTTACCTGTTATGGGACATAATTGTGCTTGGTGTTGCTCCTCGTGTGCATATGTGCCGTCCGGTTGCTTACGTACACTAACGGCGCTCACTTGGCTCGTACGTCCACCACCCGTTGGCGGAGTGATCTGTTGTACTTTCTGGATTTGAATTTGCGACTGTTGTTGCCTAAGGTTTTGACGTTGTGCAATGGCATCTTCTCTTGTCATTACTTTCTTAGTGACTTTCAAATCGCCCGACTTGGACAGTTGCAGTATTTTCTGTTCCGGTGTAACAGTTTTCGTGCTACTGGCAGCAGTGGTTCGATTTACAAGTCCGGAACTTCCCTGGCGCGGTATAATCATGCGTCCGGAAGTAGGAGAAGCATGTTGTTGAACAGATGAGCTAGTAGTGTTGGCTATGCCCGTGCGCACATGCATTGATGTGCCACCACGTTGCTGTTGTGTTGTACTAGAATTCATAATAGTTTTTCGTTGTAGCGTGGTTGCGCCCGTTGTTCGTTGGATGTGTTGCTGGCGCGAAATTGTGTTGATTTGAGTATTGCCCACTGTGGTAGTACCACCAGTTCCAACGCGGATTTGTGTTCGATTTACTGTTACGGAAGATGCCGTTTTGGATTCATTACCGCTATCACTGCCACCGCTAACCCGTACTATACCTGTACTGGATACAGCCGATTCTCCCTTCGAGAGTATACGTATTTGGGCCTCGCTTTTTTGTGTTGTCTACAATAATAAAGAAATGAAAATAAATAAACAAATACGAAATAAACAGTTTTGCCTTTAGTAATTAGGTTAAAAAAAACTCAATCAAAAAGTGAGTACAACCAACTAAATTATAATTTATACTTTTTATTAACAAACTGTTAACAGAAAGTAAACTAGTACATTCTTCGTTTCCGAACAATTAAAAATAAATTTAATATCATTTGTTAAACCAGATACCAGCTTAAATATATATATATTATATATATCAATTGCTAGTTAAAGAACTTACATTACGGCTAGTGCCATTGAAGCCAGGCTTCTTTACTACACCGGAAGCATTTGCATCTTGGGTTATAATAACCTCTGCTGAATTCGGACCAACTGGTAACGACTCGCCGCTAATTGTAGTTGGAGTACGTGTGCTGCTTGTACCATTTACTTTTACGATTTTAGACTAAGAATCATACAAATGATGAACATTTTTTGCTTCAATTTAAAAGTGACAAATTTACCTCAATTGAAATAGCATTGCCATTCTTCATTCTTTTTACTGTGTGTGATGGAATAAGATCCTCTTCTAAGTCTTCTATTGTTGCTGTTGTACTAGGCAAATCACTTGCGTTAGAATCATTAAAGTCTGAATCTTCTAATTTACGCTTTAAACCACCTACACCAACTGCCGAACTATTGCTAGTATTCATAGACCACTCTCTTTCACCATCCTGAGAGTTATTACAACTTCCGGCGACATCACTACCATTAGGAGAAGCTGCACCTGAAGGAATTTGGTTACTTCCAGAGACCCACTGTTTTACTTGATCCATGGCTTTAGTTTTAGACGTTCGAGACGGTCTTGTAGAAACGTCCGCACTTGCTGACCTATTACTTTCGACATTATCATTGTTACTGCTACTAACACTTTGTAGTTTGCCTATACCACTTCCGTGTTTATTAGTGACACCGGATTCAACTTTATTATCTGTTGCAGCAGCTTTACCTGCAGCTGTCAAAGCAGCTTGCTTTGCTTGTAAAGCTGCACGTGTTTCTTTTTGTCGCGCCAATTGTGTTTCAAATGTTTCCAGTAGGTGAGGGACATTTTCTAAGTGTGATGATGGCTCCCAAGTATTTTGTTCATGAGTTCGAGCCTCCCATTTCACTAAATATTCATGCATCTTTCGACGCGGGTTAAAACGTTTTGCAACAATTTTCTCCACATTTTCCTCAATCACCTCATCAGAGTTGGGAACAGTGCGTTTTGCACGTCGACTAAGGAGAATTTAAATGTAAGTGTTAAAAATATAACATATATGTGTGTATAAATATTTTCTGTACTAACCTTAGAGGTTTTGTTGTATTACCAATGGGAATCTTATTTTGCGTAACCCCTCCTACTGCATCACTGCGTATAGTAACTGGTTTCTTAACAATTTTTTGTGCAGATGTTACTGCTCTATGAGTGGAATCATTTTCAATATCTTTATTACCATCTATAATTTTCGTTGGAGGTTTCAAATTAGCTACTTGCGGCTTGGTTTGCGTTAAAAGCTCTAAATAAGGTACGTCATTTAACTATATTAATACCAAAAAATATTTACTTACTTCTGCCAGGTGAAACACTTTCATTAGTGCTGTTTACGACAGTTTTAGTTATTTTTACTGGCATTTCTTGCAGACCACCTTGACCTACTTTCGCAAAAGATTGTATTGTTTTACCAGCTACAATCCATGTTTCTCGCAGACTTTCATCCATTTTCACCCATGTTTGATAAAGTGCCCAAGAATTGGGGCTCGCTGTATTTGAGTCCTTATTATTATTTAGTTGTGTGGCTTTCCACAGTAAAAAGGCCCATATTTTTGGTTTAGTGTCATTACATTCACGTACGTTGGTGTTCTCCTTTTGACAAGGTTTTTGTTTATGATCATCAAAATCTTCAATAAAATGGTACACATTTAGACAGCGGCCACAAACAAGAACATCCATTGAAGCCATTTCCTCTTGTGCAGCTAAAAATATATTACATTTACTAATAAACATACCTCAACATAATAAAGGTAAAATAAATACTTACTTTTAATTAATTTCGCATGCTTTCCAATTTCCGTAGGTGTGATATCTCTCCCGACCATGGTGAAAACCAACGTCTGCAAAATATATATTTCAATTTTATATTGCTAGAAGTGTTTATCCCTAGTCTTTGCGCCAAATATGTTATAATGATCAAATTGTCACTTGTTGAAACATATGAATAGCAAATTTATGTACTAAATTTTCTGTTAATATATATAAATTAATTCAGAAATTGTAAAGCTATTTTGTTAGGCTTTTCTTCCTACTTTTTGAAAGTTTTCACTTGAAAATACAGAATTCCTAGACTATAAACTTTGTATTAAGTTACGAAACTATACATTAGATTTATGGCACATTTTCACTATTAATTTTCTATTCAAATTAGATATTTTAAGATCGCTTCCAGTTTATACTAATTTTTGCTATAAACAATTGAACCTACTGAAATTCGCTATATTGATGCTGCTGCTGTGTCCGAACTAAATGTAAAACAAGCAAACGCAAGATTTTCCGTTCGTTAGTAAAACGTAGCACTCACGGCAAACGCGTTTGACCAATCAAAATGGCGACAGCGGCAGTGCATAGGGTTTTGTGCCGACATTTGAAAATAGTATCAACTCCAAAATTTTCTTTAATTTTAATAAAGTTTTTTCTAATTGTGTTAAAATTTTGAAATAAGCTAATGCAATCATAAATATTGAGTAGAAACTTAAACTGTAACGAA